ATATAGTCCAGCTTTCAGATTATCTGCTCAGATACAGATTTAATAAGTATGGTGGAAGGCTACAACCCTGATGTACACCGCTCCTGATTTTTCAACCATGCTGTATCCCCTTGTTCTGTTTGACTACCTCTTGGTCTGTGTACAGGCTCCATCTGAGCACAATTATGTGTTTTTGAATTTTCATTCTTTGCAACATTATCCTTACTTTGTTAGGACCCACATGGCCTTCGAATCGTCAATAAAACAGGTAAACATCTTCCTGGTATTGATTTCAGATCCATCTGGCATCAGCAATGATATCCCTTGTTTCACATCCTCTCTGAATCCAGCTTGATTTCTTAAGTGCTACTTTGAACTCCATGGGCACTGATGTTCCCTGTTGATGTACTGCTGCAACTGTTTTTGAATTATCTTCAGCAAAACATATGTGTGAAATTAATGGTAGTGTTTGATAATTTCTGCATTCCATTGGATCACCTTTCTCTAAAATGGGCATGAATATAAATCTCTTCTAGTCAGCTGACCAAGTGACAATCTTTCAAATTTCTTGGCACTTATGAGTGAGCACTTCTAGTTCTGCATCTGTTGTTGAAAGAGCTCAGTTAGTATTGCATCTATTCCTGGAGTCTTGGTTTTCATCGGTGCCTTCACTGTATCCTAGACTTCTTCCTTTAATACCACTGGCTCTGGATCATATGCTTCACTAGGAAAAGTCGGAATGCCGACCTATTCTTTTTGGCACAATGACTCTGTATATTTTTTCCATCTTCTTTTAGCACTTCCTGCATTGTTCAATACTTTGCCTATTGACTCCTTCAGTAGTACACTTTCAGGTTTGAGTTTTTTCTTCAGTTCTTTCAGCTTGAGAAATGCTGCATGCGTTGTTTTTATTTTCCCTTTTGGTTCTCTAACTCCAGGTCTTTGCCCATCTCATTATAATACTTTGCTTTCTTGAATTGTCCTTTGAAATTTGTTTAGCTCTTTTACTCCATATGGTTTTCCTTTCACTTTAGATATTCTCCATTCTAGAGCAGGTTTCAGAGTTCTGACTTCCATTTTGGTCTCTGTCTCTCTCTTCTTTTTAATGACCTTTTGCTTTTTTTCGTGTATTATGTTCCTGATGTCATCATACAACTCTTCTAGGCTCCAGTCACTAGTGTTCAGTGCATCAAATGTATGGTTGTGATGACTCCAAATTCAGGTGTCATATACTCAAGTGAGGTTGGCCCAGGATCGGGCAGTGTTTCATTCTGCTGTGCATAAGGTCGCTATGGGTCAGTACCAACTCGACAGCACCTAACAACAACAACAACAACAACAACAACTACTACTACCACCTATACTTGGTCAAAGAGTAATACAGTCTTTCAGTATTCTTTGTGAATTTTCTGTTAAGCCAACAAATGATATTGTTGGCTCTTTCTTTTTGTAATAATAAGACAACTTTGAGTTCTACCTTTTACTTTTATAGTGAAATACTATGAGTTGGGCCAAAAAGAGCCAATTAAAAATTCGACATGAAATATCATCTACTGGAAATATAAGTAGAACAGCACATTGGAAGTAAGAAGATGTATACAGTGAAAGAAAAATCTCTCTACAAGATATTCTGTGGACTCTGCCCCAAGTCTGTCTATGCTGCAGTGGCACTGCTAATAAAGTGCTCCTTCCTGCTGAAACAACTTTCTCTTTCTTGGCCTTTAATCTTCTGAACACCCTTCTCAGGTTCCTTGTTGGTTCCTTCTCCTCTGCTTGAGAGCTACATGGGGGAGTCCCCCAGAACTCAGACTGGTTTCTTTCCAAACTCCATTCTCCGCCCGCTGACCGTATCCTGTTTGGTGGCTTTCTGTCCTCTCTGCTGATGCATTACTCCCCATCTGTATGTCCAGGTCTGACCTCGCTTGGAATTCAAGACTCAGGCGTCCCAAATTTAACTTGGCAAAACTAGAACTCTGCCCTTTTCTCCCACCTCCAATCCTGCTCCTTCTCTAAATTGGTCAAGTCCAAAATGTAGGTGCTATCCTTTATTTCAATTGTTCCCCCTTTCCCTGCAACCACTTTCCAAGCTTTTATAACTCCTAAATATACCTTGAATTCTCACTGCTTCCTCTATAACCCTCTGGTTCAAAAAATCTTCATATCACTTCGGAACCATTGCAATAGCCTCTGATGTGTCTGCATTCATTCCTGCCACCCTCTCCCTTGCTTGCTGCCTGGGCTCATTCAGGCCCAAGGGCCTTTTCTTTCCTCTAGAATGCTCTTGACCTAATCTTTTCATTTTCCTTCATGTCACTGAGATGTCAGCTTAGATTTCATCTGTCCACAGAGTGTAACTCCACCACTCAATCTAACATATCCATCCAGTCACCTTCTCTTTTCATTTTCTACACAACACTTACCACTATGATCTACTCTCAACCCTCCTCTGAAGAAAATTTTAAATCCTGAGCCAGTTTCCCCTTATTATTCATCAAGTTCTGGGAATGCAAAATGTGTAATATTACCTTCAAAAAACAAGATGAAGAAGGCAACTTAGCAAAAAAATAAACGTGTAAAGCAACTGACAATCAAAGTCCACTTTTGTACTTGTGTCTAACAATCCCTCTCTTGACATGCACTGCCAGGTATCTGAACAAATTGCATATAAACATTACAATTATACACTGTACTTAATATCACTATCATTAACACTGCTTAGAAACTGACCTGCATTTGATGACATTCCTTAGGCATAGGGAAGAGCAAAAACACTTGCCTAACTTCTCACCTGTTATCCTGAATGATATACTTAAATTCTTAGGTCCTGCTACATAAGTCCCTGTTTCCATTTTTTAAAGTAAAATGCTCCCTTAAAAGAAACTTACAAGAGGATTTTATTGCAGGTGGTGATTCTTTTTCTTCTTCAGAGATCAGTGATCACCTATGCAGGAGGCAAGTTTCAAAAAAGTGTATGGAAAAATGGAATTAAAAGACAATGAAATTTTTCCACAAACTTTTTCTTCCATGAACTGTTTGAAGCCCCCTTGGATACTCTAGCCTATTGGCTCGATTACATTATTCGTTTTTCCACGCATTAGTTAAAATAAAATTCTTCAGCACTCATTACTGGTAAAAGGGGCTGATGTATCAATTTTCTCCTGAGTTTTGAACTATACTGCTGACATTCATGTGATCGTAACTGAAAATCACTGTCTAGACACAAACAAGCTGGGCAAGGATTTTCTAAGGGAAAACTGCTTTGTGTTTACAGCCTCCTGGTTCTTTCCGTCACTGATGACTTACCTTCCTCAGGCCTTCCAGAACGAGGTGACCTATGTCATCTATGCTTCTTCCTAATCGTTTAGATAAGTAAGTAAAGACTGGGTCTTCTTTAGGCAACAGAGGTGCCGAAAGATTCACTCTCTCTTGTACACCCTGAAGAGAAGACGAGAAATAAATACAGACATACATAAATAAACACAGAAAAAGGACACAAAGGACAAATAATTTGGTATTTTGTATGAGCTGTTTTGAGAGAATTTTAAGAAACACAAGATTAATATATATACATATACATTTGTATGTGCTGACTCATATAGTGACCCTATATAAGGTTTCCAAGAGCAGCTGGTAAATTTGAACCACCAACTTTGTAGTTACCAGTCCAGTGCTTATCCTACAGTACCTCATTAGGCCTCACACAAACACACACACACACACACACACACACAGAGGTACACCTTGGAGATACTGTGGCTCAGTTCCAGAACACAGCAATAAAGCCAATGTCGTAATGAAACGAGTCACACACGGTTTGGTTTCCCAGTGCGCATCAAACCTGCATTGACACCATACTGCAGTCTACTAAGTATGCAGCAACATTATGAAAAAGTCGGAAGTACCTGGAAAACTACCTAAGTGTGACATAGAGACACGCACAGTGAGCACATGCTGTGGGAAAAATGGCGCCTTGTTGGACTCTTGTTTGCCACAAATCTTCCCTGCGTTAAAAGCCTAGTGCCTGTGAAATGCAGTAAAATGTAGTATGGGTGTGTGTATGGACACCTATCAGTAATACGTGGGATAAGTGTGTGTATCGACACCTATCAGTAACACTTGGTGTAAGTGTATCTATATCTACATCAATAAAACATGCTATGGGTGTGTGTTTCGACATCTATCAATAACAACACTTGGTGTGAGTATATCTATCTTTATCTACATCAATAAAACGTATGGTTGTTATGTATCTAGATCAATAAAATCTGGTATGGGTGTATGTGTCTGTATATATCTAAGGAAAGCTGTTTGAAAGGAGTTGTTGTTAAGTGCTGTTGAGTCAGTTCAGACTCACAGCGACCCTGTATAGAGTTTCCGAGCAGTGGATGGTGGGTTTGAAATGCTGACCATGCAGTCCAGCCAACCTTGTGGCCCACTGCTAAACAGTAAATGCATGAGATAAAAAAATCAAAAAGTAAAACCAGAAAATTCCTCCAGTTGTCTACTTACTCGTAAGTGCTGAAAAGCATGTATACTATATGGAAGTTCTAGAACTTTAGTGCAGTCAGGCTGCTCAGGGTTTGGAGGGACAGGCGATTCTGTGTCTATAAAATCTTCTGGGCTAAAACCAAACACGGTGCAATAAATAAAGAAAGGTTAGATCAATGATACTGAAGAAATGTCAATTACCTTTCCTAATCGAATAACCTTTATTTAGTGTCTCAACTTTACAAACAATATCAGTCTACTTTCATACCTTGTCACGTAGCCATTAGGAGGGTAAAATATTTTAGGAATTCAACTTAAAGGGGACAAGCCAACAATTAGAAAATAGTAGATGGTACAAAGAATTTAAGATGTTCGACTTTTAAAAGCTAAACACTGTTCCCAGGAATGTTAAACACATTTACTCTTCCATTGACAATCTCTGTCTTTTCACTAGTTAATGATTTCAGAACATTTTTTTTTTTCCTATTTGACATATGAAAACTAGGTAAATGTTTCAAATTGCAAACATTTCTTCTACTAGTATATTGGTTATTTGTATTTATTTTACTGTAAACTGTCCTATTTTCTACAGCCTTAAGTATTTTTAAGTGATTTGTAAATATTGCACATGTAATATGTATTCTGAATTTACAGATTTCAATAAACTCAGCTCTCATTACAGAAAGGTTCGTTTGAAAAAAACGTACTCCATTACCTGATATCTTTGCTCTCCAAAGTTATGTATGTGCCGTCATACAGATCCAGGTCTCCCAAGGGCACCTTGGCTTTGATGCAGTCTGGATCTTCTTTATTATGTCTCTGTTCCAGTCCTGTATCTCTGTCCTCGTTTTCTTCTATGTGAATTTTTTGAGCAACTAATTGCTTCTGCCAAAAAGAAAATGAGAACAGAATGGATCCTTCTAATATTTCAGTCTAGATGTCATTTAGGAAAAAAGGAGACTTGACTGAGTGTAGAAAACATTGTATGAAGAATGACAAAGCTTGAAGTCAGGGCTCTGAGTAGACCACTAACTAGAAAAACTTCTCTCCAAAGCGAACACCACGACTTTCACAATCCTGGGACATAAGCACCTTCGTGTAAGATGACTGACACCCTATAAAGCTACACCTATCAACTGAACTTCTCTGGTACAGGATAGCTCAGCAATGACAACTTTGAATTACCCAGACACATCATGTTGTTTCAGTCCTCCAAGAGGCTGAGCACTGATACTGCTACCCAGAACACCCTTCCCTAGTGCCCGCCAGGTGCAAATGTTCATGTGCTCGGCTGCTAACTGAAACGCTGGAAGTTCAAGTCTACCCAAATGTACCTCTAAAGAAAGTCTGGCAATCGACTTCTGAAAAATCAGCCACTAAAACCCTCTGGAGCACGGTTGGACTCTGATACATATGAGCTTGCTGTGAGTTAGAACTGACTCAAAGGCAACAACTGTGGATTGTTTTTTGGGTGTTAACACAGCAGTTGTTATTGCTGTTAAGTGCCGCTGAGTTGGTTCCGACCCATAGCGAGCCCGTATAGGGTTTCCAAGGAGCGGCTGGTGAGTTTGAACTGCCAACCTTGCAGTCGAGTGTTTATCCTACAGCATCACACCAGGGCTCCAATAGCAGAAGCTACCATGAATTTTCTGCATCCTGGTGTGGCGCTGTGGGATAAGCACTGGACTACTAAACGCCAGGTCGGTGTTTCAAACCCACCAGCTTTTTTTTTATTATTATTTTTT